ACTTCTTTGGCCCCATCCCCCGCTGAACCCTCTTGGATTATTAATGATAACCTGCTGGCAAACCCAGCTCACTGTCTAGAAATCGAAGCAGCCCTTAAAGACTACTTTTCTCTTAACCAATCACCTGATATATCTCCTCTCCTGTTATGGGAAGCGCATAAACCGGTATTGCGAGGGTTTTGCATTAGTAAAGCATCCTTCTTAAATAAAAGCAAAAGGCAGCAACGTCTCACACTAGAGCAAACCTACGATCGTTCCCATCAAGCCTTCCAGGCGGCTCCTACGCCTGCCAATCGTGAGACCCTGGAACGCTCTAGATTGGCTCTAGATCTTTTTCTCACAGGTCAAGCTGAACTCTCGCTCCGTAGATCTAGACATAAATATTACACCAAGGCGAATAAAGCCAATACATTCCTGGCCCTCTCACTGCGTAGGCTTGACCAGCTCACTAGATCTATTCGGATACGCACCTCTTCTGGCAACCTCACTAGTAACCCAGAACACATTCTACAGATTTTCCATAAACACCTGTCACGCTTTATTCCTCTTCTACACCTTTTGACCCCACGGAAGCAGATACCCTTCTAACCTCCATTTCCTTCCCGAAACTCTCAGAGTGCCAGTTAGAGGCACTTGAGCGACCCATCTCCCTAGCCGAAACCTTAGATGCTATTAAAAATTTAAAACTACATAAGCGCCCAGGACCAGATGGCTTCTCAGCTACTTATTACAAAAAATTTGCTCACCTCCTTACACCTATCCTCACTAATGCCTTTAACGCTCTACTGTCTGGCCAAATTTTTAACCATGACACAGTACAAGCGAACATTTCAATGATCCCAAAGCCGAATTCTGACGATACGCAGTGGTCCAATTATAGGCCAATCTCTCTCCTCAACATTGATATTAAACTGTTAGCTAAAATCCTCTCTTCACGTCTTAACCTATGTATTGGCTCTCTAATTCTTAACGACCAAGTGGGCTTTATCCCAACCAGGCAAGCGGGGGATAACATCAGACGTGTATCTCTTTTGGCTAACTTAGCTAGGTCTCGCAATATTCCCGCCTGTTTCCTGTCCCTAGATATCCGGAAAGCTTTTGATACAGTCTCATGGCCATACCTCAGCTATATATTGCGTCATTGGGGTTTTGGCCCACATTTCTTAACCTGGATCTTCTCGCTATATCGAGAGCCCTCGGCCAGAATTAGATATCTGGGACACAGGTCGGCTCAGTTCCCGATCTCCAGAGGTACAAGACAAGGCTGCCCTCTGTCCCCTCTGCTCTTTGCCCTGGCTATAGAGCCTCTGGCCCTCTTAATTAGAGCTAACCCGGATGTCAGGGGACTTGAGATAGGAGGCACGCATCATAAGTTATGTCTCTTCGCGGATGACGTCTTGCTCTTTCTCACATCCCCATTGACTTCCACTCCTTCTCTACTCCGGCTACTCGAGGCGTTTGGCTCGCTCTCTGGTTTGATAATAAACCCTAATAAATCAACAGCACTCAACATCTCTCTCCCCCCTTTAGAGTTGACGCACCTAAAGCAGATTCTACCATTCCCTTGGTCGCACTGTCATATCCCGTTCCTGGGTATTAAACTGAGTTATCAGACCTTTACGCAGCTAATTATCTTCCGATGCTAAACCACCTTTCTGCCCTTTTGACCAAATGGTCTTCCTTACCCCTCGCATGGCTAGGTAGAAAAGCAGTTATCAAGATGTCAATCCTCCCAAAAATTCTATACCTATTTAGAGTCCTCCCAATCCCAGTCCCTCCTCACTACCTCCGCACACTACAACGTCGTATTTTTTCCTATGTATGGGGTAATACTCGTCCTCGCATACCTCGCTCCACCCTATACTGTTCTAAGCTCAATGGGGGTCTAGGCCTACCTGACATCAGCAAATACTACCAGGCAGCGCATTTAGCCCAATTACCTAAGTATCATGCAACCTCTGATATCCCTCAATGGGTTGCACTTGAATCAATAGAATGTGACCCCTTATCTACAGCTAACTTACTCTGGTTGAGGCCTATAGACCGCCGTTCTATAACTAACCCCATCACTTCTCACTTTTTATCCTTATGGGATAAACTGAAAACCCGATATCCCCTCCAATCGCTACATAATCCTCTGCTGTCGTTTTTACGGAACACAGCTTTTCCCCCGGCCTGGCAGACGCCCCTTTTATTCAAAGCCTGGTCCTCTAATTTACTCCGCACGCATCACTTCCTGCAGAGGAATACGTTTAAATCCTTTGCCTCACTGCGGGAAACACATGGCCTCCCAGCTTCCGAGATATTCAGATATTTACAGCTACAACACTTTTACGCTCCCTACGCTACAACGACGAATCGGCCAGATGCTATGTCTTTCTTTGAACGAGCATGCTACAAAGACCCCCATAGACGTGGGCTTATTTCTTGCTTATATTCACTCTTCACTACTACGACTACCACGTCTCCCCCTCTGTATACCCATAAGTGGGAAGTGGATTTAGGCAAGAAGCTCGACCCATCTGACTGGGATCACATTTGGGCTAACACAAAATCATCTTCGCAGAACATTGTAGCATTGGAAACGAATTATAAAGTTTTAACCCACTGGTACTTGGTCCCAGCGAGAATCGCAAAATTTACCCCTAATTACTCGCCCAATTGTTTTAAAGGCTGTACAGACTTAGGGACACACTACCATATGTGGTGGGAATGCTCAGTGGCCCGAGCCTTTTGGGATGAAATTTTCACTATGCTATCTACACTTAGCGCTATCACTCTACGACCTGATCCAAAAACAGCCCTACTCAATCAGTGCCCCCCTGGCATCTCCAACTCGCAATTCAAGCTTCTTATGCAAGTTACAACAGCGACTAAGCAGATTATAGCGAAATCCTGGAAATCCCCTACCCTTAGTGTTGCTGCTGTCAAAACCAGAGTAACACAAGCCATGATACATGCAAAGGTGGAAGCCACTATTCTAGACACGATTCCTAAATTTTTGCACATATGGAACCCCTGGGTAGAGCGCTTCCTCCCGCCTAACTTTGATGAATCACTCCTTCTCCCTGATTTCTATACTGTGTGCCTAGGATACTGTCAATAGTCCTTCGTGGGCAACACGTAGAGTCTGCTGTAATTTAGTCGATTGTTTTATGGAGTCATTGTTATTGTTCCTCTTCCCATACCCTCCTTTCCTCCCCCGTCTGATCCCCCTTCAAACTTCCCCCTACTTCTTAAATGCACTTAGGAGACGTTATTTCGATTGGCTGGGACGATAATTTTATTTCTTGCCGACTCTTATGTTCCTGCTTTAGCTAGAATTGTATAGACATCTGTAATGTGATCCTCATTCATTTTTCTTCATTGTCCTACTGCCTCTTCATTGTCCAATGTATATCAACAAAGTCTCCTTGTTTGTGTTGTTAAAGTTTTCTCTCTTGTTAATAAAAATGTTTGAACAAGAAAGAGCTGAATTGGTCGCAATGTCTTTAGGGTTGGTAGGTCAGCTACCCAATTGATTAGTAAGGTAGGGAATTTTGGTGTGAGTTAAACGGCGTTTAAGCTGTTTGGCTAAATGCACTCCAGGCTTATTGTGTCATAAGTAAAATTGTAGACAGAGTTGTTTTAAGTGGAAATCAAAATTGTTGGAAGGTAATCACTGAGGGCTCGTCTAGCTGCGCGTAGGTTAGAGTCAAGAAGGGGGGAGGGTTGAGTACAAACGCAATCTAAAAGACGATTTTTGTGGTAGCATTACATTGTCTTTTTTCGTGGGCCCCTAGTTTGATGAAGAGGCCTCGGATGCAAGCCTTGTGGGAATTCCAGAGTACAGTGGGGTTGTTCACAGAGCTAGTATTGTTATTGAAATAAGTCTAAATTTTGGGTATGATCTGTTCTTGAAAATGAGAGAGGTATTACATCTTCAAATCGTCCTTGTTTTGGAATGAAGGGCTGGGTCTAATTTGATTGATATAGGAGCATGGTCAGACCACATGATAAGACCAATTTTGGTCTCTTGAACTGATCTATCTGAGAGTATGTTTTTTGCGTGTGCGAGTAGAAGGTGTGGTCCCTTCTGTATCCTGCAGACACCTCCAAGGATCATATAATTCTTCTTTTTGCAATAGGGAGGACAGAGCAGTGGTGCGTTTGCAGGTTTACAAAAGGATGTCTTGATTTTTTGTGGGAGCTCCTAACTTTGCTACCAGCATCTGGGAAAGATCCCATGGTTTCTTAATGTCTTTCACTATTTCAGTCAGGGGCACAGAAAACATTATTTTAGTAATTAGTTATAAATATAACTTAAAGTGGTCCTAAAAGTCTAAATGTTTTTACCTTAATGCATTCCCAGCACTAAGGTAAAAATCACCCCACTACTTGTTCTCCTTACCATCCTTAACCACAAGCCTACAGGGCACTTATACCGCCTTCCTGCCCAGGCCAATTTCCAGCTTTCAGCGCTGTCACACTTTGAATGACAATTGCGCAGTTATGCAACACTGTACCCATATGAAATTTTTATAATTTTTTTTGTGACAGAGCTTTCTTTTGCTGGTATTTAATCACCTTTGGGTTTTTTATTTTTTCTTAAATAAACCAAAAACCACTGAAAATTTTGAAAAAAAAAGTTTTTTTCTTCATTTTTGGTATACAATTTTGTAAATAAGAGGGTTTTTCTCCTTCACTGATGTACGCTAATGAGGCGGCAGTGATGGGCACTGATAGGCTGCACTGATGGACACTGATAGGTGGCACTGATGGGCACTGATGAGGAGGCACTGGTAGGTGGCATTGATGGGCATTGACAGGCATCACTGATGGCCACTGAAAGGCAGCACTCATATATGGCACTGATAGGCGGCACTGATAGGCGGCACTGACTGGCACTGCTAGGTGGCACTGACTGGCACTGTTAGGCAGCAATGATAGGCAGCACTGACGGGCACTGATAGGCGGCACTGATGCACACTGATAGGTGGCACTGACTGGCACTGATAGGTGGCACTGATTGGCAGCACTGATAGGTGGCACTGACTGGCATTGATAAGTGGCACTGACTGGCACTGATGGATGACACTGAAAGGCAGCTCAGATGAGCACTGATATGTGGCATTGATGTGGCACTGATGTGGCACTGATGGGCACTGGCAGGTGGCACTGATGGACACTGACAGGTGGCACTGCTGGGGCTAAACAGATCATCAGGGCACACTGATCATCAGTGCTCTGATGATCAGTGTAGATGTCCCCTCTGAGGAATGCTTATTACCGGCTCTCCTCTCCTAACGAGCTGTCAGCGTGACAGCTCGTGAGGAGAGAAATGCAGATAATCGACATTTCCCTGTTTACATGTGATCAGCTGTGATTGGACACAGCTGATCACATGACCAAGCCGACATCTTCAGCTCTTTCCATGGATCGGTGATCCGCTGCGTCCGAGGGACACAGCGCACTGCCGATCGCCGCGCTGCACGCTCCGGGAGCCGAACATGCGCGGTTAGAATGGGAGGACCTCATATGACGTCCTCCCAGAACAAGAAAACCACCTTGTGTCTGTCATATTACTATATGGTGGGCAGAGGCGGTTAAACACTTACCTGACTCCTCTCTCTGATCCAACACTGCTCCCTTTGTTGTTTCCCACAGGGAGACGGGGAGCAGAGGTGAGATTCCCCTCATTTGCTGTTGTCTGCTGAGGTACCAGATGGGAAAAAATGTGACAACTTGCATGGTTCATCCTTCCTCTTGAACTTTTTTTGGTCATGTCACACTGAAAAGAGAGTTCTGTCACTATTAGGGTGAGTGCAGGGGCCACAGGTTGCTTTATTTAAGTTGTGGTGATGCACCTATGTGGAGAGCCAGACTAATCTGCCGCCGTCTTACCTGACTGCCAAAAACATTCTCTAAATCTAAGTTTTAAGAAACGCTTTAAAATAAGCCTTTTTTTTGTCTGGAGTTAGAACTTGAACTGTCTTTGAAGGCTCATTTACACCATGGTGCAGAGACATCAGTTTTTTCTGTACATGTTCTGTAAGGGCGCGCATAAAATTAATTGTTTTCTATGTGTCCTGTTCACACCACAACACTAGTATCATGTGCAGATTTTTTTCTGCGTATGAAACTGCAAGGTATATAAAACTCATTGAAGCGTGTATGAAAACTGATGTAAACTGATGTCTCTGCAAGTGAAATCTGTGCTTCAATTTCCATCAGTTTTCATACACGTATGGTGTGAACGAGCCTTGAAATTTTGAATGTTATTGATTATGCAGGAATTAGAAAGACATGCTGGTAGGTTAATTGGCATCTCGCTAAATTGTCCCTATAGTATGTATATGTATGAATGTGAGTTAGGGACCTTAGATTGTACACCCCTTGAGGGTTAGGGACTGATGTGAATGTACAATATATATGTAAAGCGCTGCGTAAATTGACTATATAAGTACCTGTAATAAATAAATAAATAAATAAATAAATAAGAGAGGCAGTTGCAGAGCACCCAGCTTCAGGACATAGGCTCATACTGCCCTCTTATTGACCTTGTGAGGAGCTGAGTGTGGTTTATCTTCAGAGCAATACAGATAAACTCAGATTTGCTCAGGTAAATCAACTTTCTCATTTTGGTACAGTAGATGTGTTTTACTAGATAGCATAGTTAGGTTAATGAATGCTTTCGCTTCTGCCTAGAATTGCTCTTTAAAGCTAACAATCAATGTCCTCTAAGTAGTGTGACCACAGTTTAAGAAAGTAAAGTGAAGCAGAATGTAGATGCATATCATCTGTTACCAAAATCTGGATTCACTAGAGCATTTGAGGAGTGAGAAATTGAATCAATTTTATCAAAATGTTGCCATCATTTTCTTTTTATTTTCTCTTTACTATAGGTTCAGGTCATTCTATAAACTATAAAATCGCCTTGCCATTTATATAATAGCCCACATTATCAACATAGCTTTTACTGTTACACATGATTGCATTCTACAGAATAAATGTGTAGGTAACACATTTAGAGAGCTCAATTCAATGATTACTGATCAGATAGAAGACATGTCCATGCTGCTTTAAATACATTTTTTTCTAGTTTGTGTTTTTTTCTGGAAGCATTTTGATGGTTACAGGAAATGGTTATCAGCTTGGTAGTGACTTGTTAAATAGTTATCCATTAAATCTAAATAAAACACTGTCAAAGTATATTGATCTTTTTACACTTGTCAATTGATTTAAAAAAATGTAACACCAGCATGGGCATATGTAGAACTGAACCCCAAAATACATTTTTCTACTCCTCCCAGATATGGGGGTATCACTTGTGAGACTTTTTTGATATTTGGACTGGTCTTTATCAGCTTTATCAGTGCATCACAAAAATCAACCAACATCAAATCAAAAACACTGAACCGCACTGTGAACACTGCACTGCTTTCCATGGTGAGTTGTCAGGGAATATAGCTTAGTTTTGTGTCACCTATAGCAGTCCCCATTTCTATAAGCCAAGCAAGTGTAGCCTACTAATGGCTGCCCCTAGGAATGGCATGTTCACTGGCCAGTAAGTGCAGGGGTTGAACAAAAGTGAATAGAAGTGCAGTCATCTGCAGGAGATGGCTGGGATTGGTGTCTTCCAGGAATTTAGTCAGTGGAATGTGCAAATTGGTCAGGAAAAACTGCAGGCAGAAATATGGACAATAAACAGACCAAGGTCAACACAGGTGGCAGAGAGAGCCAATGCTGCACTGGTGTGGTTGTGATCAGGTGTTACTAGCTGCACTGGATTTAGCAACATTTTACTTATGTGGCGGCAATCAGAGACACTGCTGATAGTTGCCGTGGCTCTGGTTACACTGGCACAGATGTGGCTAGTGAACATTGTTTCTGGCTGCATTGGTCCGATGACACTCTCACTTGTGTGGTAGCGATCAGGAACAGGGCTGATGGCTTACACTGGCCTGGTGATACTGAGACTGGTGTGGTCATGATCAGAAACACTGTCAATGGCTGCACTGGTCTGTCAACACTGGCACTGGTGTGGAAGTAATCAGATTGCTGATTAAACTAGTCTGGTGATCTGGTGACACCTGGACTGGTACAATTAGTGATCAGGAATACTGTTCCTAACTTACATTGGACTCATGGCATTAGGACTGGTATTGCATTGAACAGTAGAATGGTTACTAGCTGCACTGGCTGTGGTGACAATGGCAATCATGTCTTGGCAATTAGAAACAGTGTTGCTGGCTTACACTTGTTGGGTGACACATGGACTGGTTTGGCAGCAAGCAGGACCACTTTTGTTGGCTTATACTGGTCTGGTAATATTGCAACCGTGTGGCTTCAAGGAACACTGTTGCTGGCTGCACTAGTTTGGGTCACTGAGACCCATATGGTGGTGATCAGGAAAGCTGTTGCTGGCAGCACTAGGACTGTGGTGAGTGATCAGGAACACTGTTGCTGCATCCACTGGTCTGGTAACTTGGGATTATTGTGGCAGTGATCAGGAACACTGTTGTTGGTTTACACTGGTCTGGTGACATTAGGACAGGTGTGGTGGTGATCAGGAACATGGTTGATGGCTTACACTGGCCTGATGTTACTAGGACTGATGTGGTGGCAATCAGGAACACTGTTCCTGGCTTACACTGGTCTGGTGAAACTGGCCCTTATGTGGCAGTGATCAGGAACACTGTTGCTAGCTGCTCCTGCCTAATGACACTATGACTGGTGTGGCGGTCATTAGGGACACTGTGACTGGATGCACTAGTATGGTGACACTGTTCTGGTATGGCTGCGATCTGGGACAATGTGACTGGCTGCACTGATATGACACTGTACCAATGTGGCTAGTGATCAGGGACAATGAATGACTGCACTTCTGTCATCAGAGGAGCCAGTCAGTGTTCCTGATCACTATCCCTGTCAGTATAGTGTCAATATAGTGACACTATATTGAGATAGCTAGTAATTAGAAACACTGGCTGGTTGCTCTAGTGACACTGTACTATGTTAAAAGAAAAAAAGCTCCTGGGATCGCTGGGATCACAGCAGATCAGTGTGAGAGGAAAAGGACTGCTGGCTGCAATATGCAGCCTTTATTTACATATGTGATTACTGTGATCACAACGATCACATGGTACAGGAACAACTTTCATCCAGCCCTTTAAGACAATGCCTCCTCTTTGTTTGGCTGCAGTACCAGAGGAAGCCTGAAGCCAACAATCACACACAGAGAGAAAGACCCATCTCTAGAGAGTTGAACAGGTGGGTGTGACAAAACAGCAATGTGGTAATCTGTTGGGTCTTGAAGAGCATAGACCATAAACATGTAGCTTACAGGGTGTCATTGTATAACTTGTATACTGTTCTTTCTAAATTCAATGTGATACAGAGGTTGCAAATAAAGCTGTTTGCGAAAATGGCGCTGCAAATGGTCAAATGACAGCAGATTTCAGTAACTACAGTAAATCTAGGTTTCAGAAGCATTTAAAAAAATAAGACTTATTTCTGCAGTTGGACTTTAAACTGGCCTTGAAAGTTTGAATGTGATTGGTAAGGAAAGATCCAGGAGAGGCAGTAATAAAACACTGGGCTTCAAGAAGTACACCCCTACTGCTACCTCTTATTGACCTTATGTGGAAATTAGTATATGTCTTCAGTAATATAGATAACTCATATTACAAAAAAACTCAGTGAACTCTGTGATTTTAGAACAGTTCATGTGCTTATAGGATATGATAGGTAGCTTAATGAAAGCTTTCACCTCTGCCTGGAAGCTAATAATGAATGTCCTCCAGGTACAATGATCAAAGTGAAGAGAAACAGAATATGGATGCATATTATATGTTTTCCTAAAATCATTGCCTAGGTTCAGTAAAAAAAAAAATCGGGGAGTTAGGAAATGCATCAATGGAATCAAAAAGTACCATAATTTTCTTTTTGTTTTCTCTTTAATGCACCCATAAAGCTCAAGCCAATGATTACTGATCAGACAAAAGACAGAGCAATGTTTCTTTAAATACATTTTTACAGGGTTTCAAGTGTTTTTCTGGTAGCATTTTGATGGCCTTTGGCAAAGTGTTGTCATAATTGTTACTGTCTTGGTGAACAGTATTCCATTAAAATCTAATTAAAACACCATCAAAGTCTAGAGTTTACACCAGGGTAATAGTCTGATCATTAGATGTTTGAACATAGCAGGAGTTTGAAGACAGTAGACTGTTCTCAGTAAGTACATGTGTTAGATTTTACTAATCAGTTTTAAAGATTTCTGATTTACTTCAGTAGAATATTTATTTGGCAGTTGTTTTCAGTAGTACTTTTTGTAATCTGGGTTGCTATCCTGTTTATAAGGCAATTTCCAGGCTACGTAGTGGCATTGATTATTTGGAA